TTCTTGGTCTAGTGTTTAAGTACTTGTCTCGGGTTTGCGTTTACTGTCTAGGGTTTACGACGTGGCTTTGAGGGTTTAGGGCAAGGGTTAGGGTTTGCGTTCTGTCCCTGGTCTAGTGTTTAAGAACTTGTCGCGTTTTTGCGTTCGCTGTCTAGGGTTTACGCCGCGGCTTTTAGGGTTTAGGGCAAGGGTTAGGGTTTGTGGTTTATCGTTGGTCCAGCATTAAAGCACTTGTTCGGGGTTTCGTTCGCTGTCTAGGGTTTGCGGGCAGCGTTGAGGGTTTAGGGTTTGGGGTTTGTGCGCAGAAGCCGGACGTGACGTACTCGGACGTGGGGGGCGCGAAGGAGCAGCTGGAGCAGCTGCGCGAAGTGCTCGAGTTGCCTCTCTTGCATCCCGAGCGCCTCCTCTCGCTCGGGATCGATCCCCCCAAAGGCGTTCTTCTTTACGGGCCCCCCGGCACAGGCAAAACCCTCACTGCCCGCGCAGTCGCCAACAGAACCGACGCCTGCTTCATCTGCGTCATCGGATCCGAACTCGTTCAGAAGTCCGCCTCTGCTGCTGCTGCTGCTGCTGCTGGTGTTGGTGGTGCTGTTGTTGTGCTGCTGCTGTTGTTGGCGCTGTTGTTGTTGCTGTTGTTGCTGCCGTTGTTGTTGCTGGTACTGTTGCTGCTGCTGTTGTTGCTGTTGTTGCGGGCGCTGTTATTGCTGCTTTCGCTGTCGTTGTTGCTGTTGTTGCTGCTGTTGTTGCTCCCGCTGCTTGAGAACCTGCTGCTGCTGCTGCTGTGCTGCTGCTGCTGCGCAGGTACGTGGGGGAGGGTGCGCGGATGGTGCGGGAGTTGTTCGAAATGGCCCGCAGCCGCCGCGCATGCATTCTCTTCATCGACGAGATCGACGCCATTGGCGGCAGCAGAGGCGCAGAGGGAGACGGCGGACACGGAGACCACGAGGTCCAGAGGACCATGCTCGGTAACGCTCCTGCTGCTGCCGCTGCTGCTGCTGCTTTTGCTGCTGCTGCTGCTGTTGCTGCTGCTGCTGCTGGTGGTCGTGGTGCTGCTGCTGTGGTGGTGGTGGTGGTGATTGTGGTGGCAAAGGTGGTGGGGGTGGGGTGCTGCTGCTGCTGCTGCGGTGATGGGCGGCGGGTAGGAGGAGGGTGCTGCTGCTGTTGCTGCTGCTGCTCCTGCTGCTGCTTTTGCTGCTGCTGGTTTTACCTAAGCCTTTTTGCGGGCAGGATGGATCTTCCTGTGCTTTCTTTTTTCTCTCTTGATTCCTTTCGTGTCCCTGTTGGATGCAGTTGGGCGATGGGCTGAGTTGGCTCTTCGTCTTGCTGCTTTCGAATCCCGTTTGTTTTGCTGCTGCTGCTGCATTCAATCTTGCCGCTGCTGCTGCACTAGATGTCTTGCTGCTGCCGCTGCATTTCATATCTGTTTTGCTGCTGTCGCGTCGCTTCACATGACATCTCCTCCCTTTTCATCTGCCTCCCCGCGCAGGGCTGCCTCACCGCTCCCCTGCCGCTCCTGCTGTTGCTGCCGCTGCTGCTGGTGCTGCTGCTGCTGCTGTTTGCAGAAATAGTGAACCAGCTGGACGGCTTTGAAGCACGCGGAAACGTAAAAGTCCTAATGGCCACAAACCGCCCCGACACTTTAGACCCCGCGCTGCTCAGGCCCGGCCGCCTTGACAGAAAAATCGAATTCGGACTCCCGGACCTGGAGGTTTGCTGCTGCTGCTGCTGCTGCTGTTGTTGCTGTTGCTGCTGCTGCTGCCATTGCTGGTCCTCTTTTATTCCTGTCGCTGTTGGCGCTGTTTCATCTGATGGTGCGGTTGCTGTTTCTGTCTCGCTGCTGCTGCGTTGTCTTGCTGCTAGTGGTGCGCTGGCGTGCTGCTGCTGCTGCTGCTGTTGTGCTGCTCGCTGCTTCTGCTGCCGCTGCTTTTCTTTTGTGGTGCCTCCTCTATGCCGGTACTTTTACTTTTCCTTCCGCAGTCCCTCTGTTCTTCCCCGCTCCGTGCGGCTGTGCTCTGCAGCCCAAGTAGGCTGCCTCGCTGCCCCAGCTGCTGATGCTGCTGCTGCTGCTGCTGCTGCTGCAGGGCCGCACGCACATCCTGCGGATCCACGCGAAAACCCTCAGCGTCGACAGCAACATTCGCTACGAGCTGCTCGCCCGGCTGTGTCCCAACAGCACGGGGGCGGACTTGCGCTCCGTCTGCACAGAGGCCGGGATCCTTGCCATTCGCGCCAGGAAAAAGGTCAGCTAGCCAGCTAGCTAGCCAGCTAGCTAGCCAGGTGGCTAGCCAGCTAGCTAGCCATGTAACTGGCCAGATAGCTAGCCAGCTAGCTAGCGAGCTAGCTAGCCACCTAGCTAACTAACTAGCTAGACATATAGCTAGCCAGATGACCAGATAACTATCCGGGTAGCTAGCCAGCTGGGCAGCCAGCTAGCTAGCCAGCCAGCTACCTAGGTGGCTGGTAAGAGAGCTAGTCATGAGCCAGCTACATTGCCAGCTAGATAACCAGCTAGTGAGCCAGCTAGTTAGCCAGCAAGCTAGCTAGCTAGTCAACTAGGTAGCTAGCTAGATTGCAAACTTGCTAGCCGGCTGGCCAGTCAGACAGCTAGCCAGCTTGCGTGCTGGATAACAAGAAAGCTAGCTAGACATTGTAGACGGAGGCCACCTCGCTGGGGCACAGAGCTGCAGAGATTGCTGTTGTGTCTTTGCAGATAGGGCACTATTTGCTGCTGCTCTCTTTGCTGCTGCTCTCTTTGCTGCTGCTGTGCTGCTGTGTTTGCTGCTGCTGTGTTTGCTGCTGCTGTTTGCTGCTGCCATGTTTGCTGCTGCTCTACTTGCTTCTGCTCTGTTTGTTGTTGCTCTCTTTGGTGCTGCTGTAGTTGCTGATGCTCTCTTGACTGCTGCTCTACTTGCTGCTGCACTATTTGCTGCTGCTTCCTTTGCTGCTGCCTAGCTAATCTTGGCGTGTCTTTGGTTGGCCGGCTGTTTGCTTCAGAGCATCTCTGAGAAGGACTTCATTGAGGCGATTAACAGAGTCATTAAAAGCTACAAGCGCTTCAGCGCCACTGCCAAATACATGGTCTATAACTGAGCAGCAGCAGCAGCAGCAGCTGCAGCTGCAGCAGCAGCTGCAGCAGCTGCAGCAGCTGCAGCAACAGCGGCGGGAGAGGCGCCTGCGTGGCTGCAGCCCTCGATGGAGCCGCAGCAGAAGCAGGAAGCTGCTTCGGCAGCAGCACTTGCTGGAGGTCCCAACTAGCTGTTTAGCTCAGACTAGCTGGGCATTGCCCTTCGTTTACTGCAGCTCCTGTGGCAAGCAGCAGCAGCAGCAGCAGTAGCAGCAGCAGCAGCAGCAGCAGCAAGTGCTGCAGCAGCAGTTTGGGGTGTCCGTACACCCAAAGCGCTGCAGTGGCACTTTGACCTGGAGGGCCGCAGCAAAGCCCAGCTGCCGAGCAAAAAAGCACTTGCTTTTGCTGCTGCTGTTGCTGCTGCAGCAAAAATTGCATATGCATCCTATGCATAGAGACCCCTAAAGCACCGTAGTGCCAGAGGCCCCCCAAAGAGACCTGAGCAGCCGCCTTGTGGGGCCCCCACAGCCTCAGGGGCCCCGTTAGGGGCCCCCTTAGGGCCTCTAGGGCCCCTAATGCTATTGTAGAGCCCCTAGGGCTATTGTAGGGCCCCTACGGCCATTACAGGGCCCCAAGGGCCTTTTAGGTTTCCCCAGGGGCCCCTTTTGCTGCTCCCAGGGCCTCTCGGGGCACTGTGAAGGCCCCGAGAGGGGTCCTCTGGGGAGGGCCCTCCTTGGGGCCCCTGGGGTCCCTGGGGTCCTTTTGGGGGCCCCCGGGGCCCCTTTGG